TTAGTAAGATGCACCTAAGATTGTTATATAACGCTTTTACATTTTACAGCACGATTTTATTCTGCATACAATAATTTTACCTTTTTTTCTCCAAAGATGACGATCGATATTAAATGTTACAACAGATGAGATATTTATTTCTCTTCCATGCAAATGGTATTTCCAAATATATTAAGAATTTTGACATTTTGTTATAGGTTTCTCATTGCTAGTAATATTCATTACTACTTAACTGTATGGTGAACAAAGAAAGAAGGAACCAATCCACCTTATTAAATGAACCCATAAATCTACTATATTAAAATTAAACTCAAGCTGTGAAACACAAATATATCTCACTTGAAGGAAAAAAATGGAGGGGGAGACATACACGTAAGATCAAATTAAAAGAAATCACACAAGAAGAGAAGTGATAACGAAATGAATAAAATCATAACAAGCGTACTGGCCTATACTCAGCACTGACCCAGGAAATACCTTAAACCTATGTAAAACTGCCAGGGCAATGACAAAATTCCATCTACACAACATATTCTTGGGAATTTGGAATCCAGAGAGAATGCAGAACAACTACTGGGAGGATTTGAAGCTAGAGAAGATAGTTAAGTAGCATAATTACTACCTGGAAAAAAAAAGGCTGAATTGGAGATTGCAAAAAAAATTCCAAGTTTGTAGCAGGCTCCTAAGAATTAAACACGGAAAGTTTTACAGAGTAGAGTTTTCTTCCTGACCTGCTCTAAGCTCACTGCACGCCTAAGCACACGGGCACCAGGACAACGTGTAACTGTGTGAACCTCATGCTGTCCACACTCTTGGTGTTACTGCTGTTATTTCAGATAGAAGTTTTTCTTCTTATCCCATATGATGATTTCCAACAGAAACATATGCGGCCTTGGCTTATGAGGGACGATCTCACAGCTCCAAGCAGGATGGCTGCTTGGGTGGGATACGGATAGGATGAAACTGAACCTGCACCCGGAGCATCGGCGCTTCATCTCTCCCAGACCAGCACAGCTCCAGCTGGGTAGTCTGATTCCAGATGCCTCTGAAATTCAAGGCTGTCCTGAAGATTTCGGTTCAGGACAGTTAATGTTTGTCTAATATATCTTGATAAACTGTTAGGACTCAAATGCAACTTTTTGTAAAATCTCCCTATTTCATGTATTTTTAAAATTTTGTAAAATCTACCTATTTCCTATAGGAGCTGCCTATTTCAAGGCCCAAGTCCACACATCTTTAGAACAGGGCAGCCTACAAGTGGCAGCGAACTGAGGCAGCAGGATGTCGGGCTGGAAGAAAACGGCCAGACCACATTAACTTAATAATGGGCTGCTAGCGAGAACATTTAATTGATTTACAGAGCAGCTCAATATATGATCACTGTGCTATGAGTAAATCTATAAGGTGGCCCATCAGCTCTCAGCTTCATTCCCAAGCCTATTAATTAGTGTTAGGCCTTCTGTGTCCACTGTTCAGATCTAAATCACTTGTTTCCCATTACACTGTAGTCCGAACACTGCAGGCCCATAAAACCAGGCATTAATACCTCTATCAGTGGGGTTTCTGGAAGTCAGCTGTGATTATTATAGATTAAATCTTCCTAATCCTTGCAAACAAAAATGATTAGAATATATTGAAATAGTAACTCAGTGAGAATGTTAAACACCAGAGTATGTTATAGTTAAGGGGTATGTTTATTCCTCCTGATGGGAATTAATGTTTAAGATCAATATATGCCAGAAAATATGGCATAGCTTTTCAAGTAAATTCAGATATTGACAGGTATCCAGTATATCGATAGGCTGAAGAGCCTTCCAATTTCCTTAACACTACATTTTTCATTATACACATTCTAGACTTAGTGATTCATTTCAAATGAAAAATAAACCAGACCGTGTGCATGGCTGATTAAAACTGGCAGCAATATTTGCTGAATTTGCTGCACGCATAAAATAATTTACTATAATTTAATTACTTTTACTAATTATCTATTCAAGCTGAATACATCCCACACAGAATAATTACTGCATTACTTAATGTCATTTTTCAGTTACATTTCAGCATGGCTTTGGTTTACATTGCGAACCAAGGCGTAAAGCAAGCAGAATAGGATTAAACAAAAATAAGGGCAAAACAGTCACAAATCTAAGGCTGTTTACACCCCCATGGAATATAAACAGCATTTTCCTGTTTATTTTTAAAACACGCCATGATTTAAATCTGCTTAACAATTTGACAAAATAATTCTATTAGATTTTAAATTATGGCCTGCATATGAATCTGACAAGTAGCGAAAAAATACTGCTCTCGCTAACATTTCAAATCATACTTCTTGTGTCACACAAACAACAAAATTTGGAATTTCAGTTTTAAGCTAGAGATACATCATCATCTGTGACTTGTGATACCTACAATATCAGAGAGCAGCAATCTTCCAAGCTCACGTCTACCTCTGAGGTTCACATTACTCCCACTCAAATTCACTTGTCTGATATTTAGTTATTATTTAGTTATTTTTTTTTAAAGTGAGAACATCACCACAATAGTAAACATTGCCTTTTCACCAGCCACGCTAAACAAAATACATTAAACAAGATGGAATCTTATACCTTAAATACAACATAATCTGTTTAGGGGGATTCAACTGCTTTTTGCTTTCAGATCAGAATTTAGATTTAAAAGATTAAATATTGATGCTTTTATTAAGAATTTCCCTTATTTTATTAAGAATTACACTGGATAATATATGAGGTATACAAACACACCTTTCCAGTGTTTCATATTATGGCATAACCCACCTAGCTGCCAGAGCGAAACCTAAACAATCCCGCACTATCCCCAAGCTACTCCACACCTCGTGCACCCTGGGAAGTGGCTGGGGATTTGGAGGAGAGGATTCTGCACGGGAAGCACCACTGTTCTGACCTGCTCTCATCAGTGCACTGCATGCAGCAGCAAGAGAAATGAAGTAATTTCGTTTTATTACTTAAATGAAAACAGAATTTTTATCACCTAAATGAAAACTGGATTTCATCTGCAGTGAAATCAACAATTCACTGGGTCAGCACTGTGCTAAAGACAACTAAACCTTACAAGCAGGAGTGAGGATAAAGCTTATTGCAATATCTCTAAATTGCATAGGATACATTACATCAAAACACACTGCTGAAAAGCATTTAAGAAAAGCTTAAAAGAGACAAATCAAAAAAGATAAAATCCCATAGCCTATCATGGAATGCAGAATGTCCAAGGATGGCAACAGGTAACTATCACAGCGTGCTAGATTTGGAGCCAAAGGCAGAGTTGCTGGAAATGCTTTTAAAACTAGGTCAGTTTTGGGGATACCAAAATTAAAATACTCCAAAACAGGGACTATGATAAATAATGTGGTTACATTTAGCAAACTCTGGGCAACGAAGCCTATTAATGTATAGAGGAACCTCAGCTACTACCTCCAGTAAAAAATTGTACTGAGAAGAGCCTTACGGCTTCATTCTAGCTACAGCTTCATTATGTGAAGCGCCGAGCTGACACATTCAGCAAAAACCCCACTGCAGCACTGGCACTGAGCAGGTCACTCCACGCAGCACGGGGCTGTTTTCTCTCCTGCGCAACTGCGGCTCCTGCTCACGAGGAGCTCCGAGGGGCTCCAGCACTCTGGAAGGCTGCTGCTCCGATGGGGAGCCCTGCCGCAGCCTGAGCAAAGGGAAACCTCATCGCCCCAGGCGCCACTTCCCACCTCAGACATGTCCACTATGCCCTGTAGCTGCTTCATTCGGGGACACTGATGAACGGTTACACTGAATATCCAGGCTTTTACGGAGGTTCAGGCAAAGCCTGTAAATAAACAAGCTCCCCACCGTCCTTGCAGGGCAGCACCCCTTGGCAGGCATTCACGGGGGCTGTTCTGGATGCCGTATCTCAGTGGCAAGAAGTCAAGGATGCAGTATCACCGTGCACGGCAACTAAGGTCTAGGGCAGCTTCCCTCCAGCTGAGGTTCTCTTTTAGGAAGCTGTGCAGTTTCTGCTTCAGAGCCCTCAAAAAAATATCCACAGAGCTTGAATTAGTTCAGACAATCAGTTTGACGTTGCTGCAGTCTGTAACACTGGTAAGATGCTTCTCTTAAGCTGTTCGCTTCTCCACCTGACTGGAGCAACCCCGAAACCTGCAGGTGCTGCACACGATTCCACGTGCTTTCCATTGCCACCGTCGGCAACATAATTTACTGTCTTTCACTCTAAGGATTTATTAATTTGATCAAGGGCAAAGGATGTGTAGCATGTTCCACCAGTTAATAAAGTTTATAAAGCACTAGGGGATTTATTTGGATGAGAATCACAGCAGCAATGCAAGACTTAATCAGCCCAAAACCAGCTGCTAAAGCCAGAGAGATGTAAAACTCATTTAGAAATGAGAAAGGGTGGCTGAGCAAGCAGACAAATTTGAAAGGTTGTATTATGTGACTTTTAACCTGAGAGTGTCAAGATTTTTTAGGCTCAAAAGGTAAAAAGAAAGTACTGCAAAACGCTTTGGAGCTGAGTAGTTGAAAGGATACTTGGATGCTGAGGATGTGCTCTCCTGACTGTAAGAATATGTATATGGTGAAGGGAAGGAATCCCAGCAGAGAAGACTTTACGCAATGAAAAATATTTAAACACTGAAACTCAGCCAATGTTGTCACCAGCAATTACAACAGAAGTGAAGAAATTAAAGAGCTTTGTAAAAGCAGACAGAAAGAGCTTTGCACAAGCACACGCACTCACTACGACTGCGAGTCCTGAACGGTTCTAGAGCCCTGGGGCTGGCAGCAGATGGCAACTTAGTAAGACCATATCCCTGTGTATAACAGGATTGCCTGAACGTCAGTAAAGCAGCAACACCTAAAAGGGGCAAACAAATAAAAACACTCTGAAGTGCAGTGAACTGCGCAAGCCCACCGCTGCGTGCTTTCGTCGGATGGGGCGATGTGACAAGTGTTATCACACTGCCACCTAGCGCGATGCCACGCGTGGAGGGGGCGGCCGGTGCCACAGCACGAGCCGGCCCTGCGCCAGCCCCGGCCACGGCCGCTGGGGAGGCCCCCGCTCGGCACCCGCACGGGCAGCGGCCTCAGCGACAGCAGCAGCTCCTGCCGCTCCTGCGGCTCTGGGCAGCAGCCTCGCGCTCTGCCGTCACGCGCCTGGATCACACAGTGCCCCCAGAACAAGCACGGGGTGCAACTCCACGAGGTGCTCCAGGGAACACGTCCTCCCGGCACACGCACACAGCGCGGGGTCCCTCCTGGGCTGCGAGGATGCTGCAAACACGCTTCACATGCTCACTACATCCACTGCCACCCACCTCTTGTGTGAGAGCTCTGCAGGGCCTGAGAGGTCCAGGCTCGGTACCTGCTTGAACTACACGACTGGCTCCCGTCTCACTGAGCTGGCGAGCGCAAAGCACCGGATCTCAGCGCCTCGTGCCGCAGCAGGGACAGCATTTCTGCAGAGAGCACAGGGCAGGGGAGCACTGGAGCACCAGCTGAGGAATCCCGGCACTGATATTAAGTGCATATAAGTGCACTTATATGCACTGGGGCATATAAGGAGCACAGAGGCACAGAATTTGTTGTAGGCGCTCAGATTTGGCCAGCTCTGGCCCACCTCTCTACAGAAGAGAAGATTTCCATTGCTGGAAATCGTAGGATTTGCAAATTCCACACTCTGTATCCATGAACTCTGTAGCAGCCCAAGGCAGAACAGAAGAGTCTGAAAAACAAATTCTCATTTGTTTGGTGCTGGGTCCCTGAAACTACCCTCTCTTGATCCAACATTTTCATTCTTCCCCAGGTCCTTCAGCCCAGACATTCCACACTACAGATGTCCCACAAAAATCCCAGCACTGTTTTCCCATGCAGGGCTCCTTAAAGCTATATTACAATAGCTTTGATTAAAATACAAGCTAAGTGAGTAATCGCAGGCTTTTTAATTTTACAGTGTCAGTTTGTCATTGTAATGGATATGTTGGAACATGAGGGGTTTTTAATGAATTAAAGCCAATGCATATTTACAAAGACTTGAAGCTCTCCATCACCAGCAACGTGGTGATGGACACACAAAAATAAGAAAGGGAGAACAACTTGTCAGCAACCCAGACCCTCCCATAAAGCTTCACTCTTCTGTACTTACTCTCGACAGGTCCCTTCATCCATACATGTCCATAATGCCGGAAAAAAAAAAAAACCTAGAACTGAGAATTAACTTTACCACAGAATTGAGTGGAAAGTTATAAGGAAAAGGTTTAGCTAACGTTATTTGGTCCCTCCGAATCGCACCACTTCATCTTAAAAGAAACAAAGCTTGCATTTCAGGAAGGTTTGTTTACCCTTCCTCATCCTGTTTAACTGTATCACCATCTCTATGCATTTCAGAACAGACACAGTGAGAGGCACATTGTAGTGGGAGTACTGGATTATCGTTTTTATTCTGCTAATGAGCAGATCTAATCATGTTTCAATTACCTCTCTGATAAGCAGAATTAACCCAAGCATCACTCAAGAAACTGATGAATTGCAAGTATCTCCTCAGCGACTCAATACTGTGATTCATGATGCATACTCCAAACAAGCAGGAAATCTATTTTGAACAGCAGAAATATATTGTTAAATATTTGTTGTTATTTAAAGAACAAACAGCAGAGCAAACTAATCATCAGGGACTTACACATATCATACAACAGCAGTATTGCTTGGCAGGGGATGTATCGTAAGTATAAGGGACCCATTCCTGTTCCAGCTCTACTACAAGTCTTTCAAAGCCACAAGAGGGAACAGAACCACTCCAGTGCCACTGCCGCAGCTATCCCAGAGTATTTATGTATTGCTGTCATCACTAGTAGCAATTATTCATCAAATAACATGTACCAAATGTACTTAAACTGCGCCTTCTGCCCATGTTTGATATTCCAAATGTCACTATTTATGGACTTACATTCGCCTCACCAGCGAGATGGCTTGTTGCAACTGCCCACGTGCCCACACTCCATAGTTGAACTGAATTTAATGCAGAACATCTCCCTTTACTTCAGGAAAACTACATATACATGTGTACAACACACCGAGTAGCAGATGGATGCAATTCACACAGAAATGAATGAAATTTTTATCCCTTTCTGGACATTTGAAAGGGAACAGAATTAAAAAAAAATCTCCAACTGGAAAAGGCAGAGGAGGACACTAAGCTGCTTAGTGCAGTGGTAACTCTTACCTAGATATCCTCTGCAGTTCGCACCATTACAATGACTCTTTTTTCCTGATTTTAACTTAAATCCTCATACATGACAAGTAACCTGCAATTCATATAACTAATAGAAAAGGGGAAGATTTCACCTGCAGATTTCCACCTGCTTTCCTCTGCCTGCATTTGGGGAACAGAAATATGCATCTTCTTTCCATAGGGCTTCTCCCACACAAACGAAGCATTCCGCAAATGATGCCATTCTGCTATTTTCTATCCCCATTGCAAATCCTGCTGTTTGGATTTGCCATTCTTTACTAACAGCAGTTTCAACACCACTCCACAGCAGCCTGCAAATTTCATTTCAATTGCTACTTACTCACATTGATGATTATGTTGAACAAGGCTGCAATTCAGCAGGCCCTTGTGCAGCCCCCTGATCTGAAGGACGCACAAGGTGCAACTGCCTTCAGGCAGGAGGAGCGAGCGCGGCGAGGCCCAAGGCTGAACACAGAGCAGGTTACTGGATACTGCCATACAGTCACACTTACTGCTGTTCTCGTCATGATTACCCGAGCTTCTGGACTGGCAAAATGTCCAAATCCACATCCGTTAAGACCAAGCACTCCAAACAAAACTGTTCCATACAACATCGGTTAAAATTCAGAACAACCCCCTCACAACCACTGCTTTTCTAACTTTTACAAAAATATCTCATTCCTCCAATCATTTTTATTTGGCAAATCACTTATAACACACAATGGAAATAAATATAATTCAACAAATATATCTCTGTTCACTTGCATATGGTTTTTCTGAAAGAAATCAGTCCTTTTCCCAAAAGCATTATGTGTTTGATAAACATAAATTGACTCTGCTTCCATTTTGTAAGAGAGGGATGTATATTAAGGAATAAAAATGCAGGCAATTGTTCCTCCTGCTTGCTATTCATTGCTCGAATACCGAAAGTCTCCTTATGAATAACATGAATTGATGTTCTTGTCAGTAGCAACAATATTTACAGAATGTATGTTATATTAAAGAGGAAATTGAAAGTAAAGATGTGATTCCACTAAAAGAGACATTGAAACATGCAGACTATCTCACCCAAGCAAAGTCTGCCCACCTTTTGTCAAGAATTGTTTTGCTTTGTATTTATAAACCTTTTGTATTTGATGTTCACTATTTAAAACAGTCATTATTTGTCAAGGGGGTCTTTGCAGACAGTTGTGATATCAGAAAGAAACAAACAGAAAATTATTAGAAAACACAACAAAATGTGGCATTTTTCATAAGCAATATAAAGTTTCCACCATACAACTCTGAGGATGTTTGCCACGAGAAATCCGGAGGAAAACATCCTGAAACTGAGGCACAGAAATAAAGAGCTAGTCTGATTCACTAAAGCCTTTCAGTGCAGCTTGGAAACTCCTCCATGCCCCATTAGCAGCTACACGCCAAAGAGCACCGTTAAGTTGACATAGAGCCGAGCACAGCACGGACAGCAAAGCTCCCATCACCATCAGCACGGGAGGAAACCCGTGTGAATAAACACAGACCCAGGCTGGTGGGACTACGGCGTTTTATTCCTTCCCAATACTTTTTTATTAAAAAAAAGTTTTTCCTTAAAGCAACTCCTGAACTCATGAAAGGAGAAAAATGAAGCACTCTCTATGTAGCTCTTTAGATAGAAAGAGGCAGAAGGGATAAGATATATATACATATACATAGAATATTTTACCCCACTAATATATACATAAAACATTTATATATATATTATACTATATATATATATATTTCACACACACATAGATACACACAAATTGGAAGTTCTTACAAAAAATTGCCACAAATGCAAAGAAATTCCTAGTGATGCTGAATACAGGCCATAATGGCCATGAAGGAACAGAAGGATGGTGCCTTTAAGAGCTTTTTCGCTTACAGTTACATTGAAGGCAGACAATTATGCAAATAAAACAGAAAAATCTGTAGAGGAAAATATGTTTTTCCTCACAGGAATGAAATCAGTATTAATAAATATGGCTCTGGGGATTTTGATATTAAGCACTACTAGTGACAAAAGATAAAAACAGTAATTCAAATGCCTTTCAACTGTCTTATGCATCCATTAATAGTCTTTTATCCTAAATTTTTCGTTTCTCATTTCTTTCCTGAATGAAGGAGGCAAATGGCTTAGGCAGAGGGAGGAGGGAGGGAAAGCAAAGAAAGCAAATCAAAAGGAACAGGGATCTGAGACAGGTAGGAAAAAGTCATGCTTCAAGCCAAGACAGCTGCACTATTTGAATGTATTTATGTTGTCACGGAAATGAAGGACTAGACCATGACTTGGGGATTATTAGACAATTTCCAGAACTGGCAGTCAGGGCTTCTAGAACTCATGGCAACCCTTGGAAAACCAGAAGAATGTTTAAGACACTCCTCTGCTCGGACAGTGCATAACGCAGGGTAGCTACAGTCTGTGCAAGGTGTCGGCAACTGAAGATTCTTCTGGTTTGCAACTCCTCAGGTTACACCATAAACTGGGAAATGTGGGTGGGGGGGTGGTTTGCTTTTTCCCCACTATTTATATAGCCATAGAATCACAGAGTCACAGAATGGTTAAGGTTGGAAGGGACCTCTAGAGGTCACCTAGTCCAAACCCCCTGCACACGCAGGGTCACCTAGAGCACGTGGCACAGGACTGCGTCCAGGTGGGCCTTGAAGATCTTCAGAGACGGAGACTCCACAACCTCTCCGCATTTCATTTGCAGAGACAATATACTGGTCTTTCTTAAAACCCATCTAAAACACTCAATAACCACAAATCCATATTGTAACACACATTTGGAAAGGATATTTACCAAGACTTTGCATTTAGCCTAAGTAAAAATTGAACACAGTCAAGAATAGTTCCTGTCAGAAAGAATATGACTGCTAATTTAACAATGCATTTCTGTTTTATCAAACCCAATATCTGTTTTATGAAAATCTGATTCCGCTCCTACCATGCTTCA